AACCACGGGCCTAAGCCAAGTGAGTTCCATTTATGGGATTCGGTTCAATGTTCGCGTCTTCTTGTAAGAATTTCCGAACTATTCTGCACGTATTTAGGATGGTGGCTTTTTGCATGGTCATATATGTATTTTTAGGTAGTTGAATTTGTTGTAAATAATGATGAAGGTGTGTCGGTATTATACCGGTGCTGGAGAGCACCAGAGGCACAATATATACTTTTTCCATCTTCCAGATTCTGATTATTTCCTCTTTTAAATCTGTATATTTATGTATTTTTTCGGTTATTGTTTTTTGTAGGTTGTGCGTGTTAGGGACTGCTATATCAATAATGTATGTATGTTTTTTCTGTTTATCTATCATGGTTATATCGGGTCTATTATTATGAATTGTCTTGTCTGTTAAAATTGCTCTATCGTAGTATATCTTGTGACTCTGATTCTCCAGCACCGGTTTGGGATTATATTGGTAGTATGGTTCGATTTTAGGCGGTAAAAGATTACATTTAATGGCTAACTTTTGGTGGATAATACGGGCAACTTGATTGTGTCTATGGGTGTAATCAGTTTGGGCTAAATTAGGACATGCACTGGTGATATGTTGGATGGTCTCAGCTGCACGGTGACACTTTCTGCATTTGTCGTTCTGAATAGTGGGATCTTTGAGTATATGTTTTTTGTAATTCCTTGTATTAATGACTTGGTCTTGTATGGCTATCATAAAACCTTCTGTCTCTGGGAAAAGTGAACCTAGTTTTAACCATTTGTTAGAGGCGTCTATATCTATGTGCGGTTGTTCCAGATCATGCAGATGTCGTCCATGTAGTTCCTTAGAGCGCCATCTATTCATCTTCTCAGTGATATGGGTTTGCGGAGTTTTGAAACTGATGTTATTGTTAGATAAATTAAGCGGGGTACAGTTTCTGTCGAGATCAACTATTGCTGAATGGATGTTACTAACGTTGATTTTAGAAAAGAAGAAATTACGAAGATTTTGTATTTGACCTTCCCATAATACGTTCAAATCTATGAGACCTCTTCCTCCCTTTTCTCTCTTTATTGAAATTCTCTCGATTGCTGACTTCGGGTGTAGGTAATTATGCTTTGTTAAAGTGGTCCTAATTTTGATTTCTAAACTACGAATATCTGTTCGTGTCCATTTTACTATACCAAATGAGAATGTTAAAATGGGAATTGCAAAAGTATTAATGGCCTTGAAAAGATGTTTTGAATGGAGTTGTTTTTTACATAATAAATTCAATCGATGGGTGAACTGCGCAGATAAATCTTTTTTTATTTTACAGTGATCTATAATGTTAGATTGGTGAATACCTAGATATTTATAAGTATCAGTAGGTCCCATAGATTCAAACGCATCAGGTTCGTCTGCATCATTAATAGTTCTTATTATTTTACCTTTTTGAATGTGTAGTGTGCGGCATTTATCCAGACCAAATGACATATTTATATCTCTACTATACCGGGCAGTTATTTCTATTAGGGATTCTAGACGTTTTTGAGATTTTGCAAATAATTTAATGTCATCCATGTACATGAGATGACTTATGGCCGTATCTGAATTTAAGTTGTAACCGTTATCTGTATTATTGAGTAGGTGAGACAAAGGGTTTAAGGCAAGGCAGAACCATAGAGGGCTGAGGGAGTCTCCCTGAAAAATACCATTCCTGATATGAATTTCGTCTGTGGTGATAGAGTCTGTAGCACTAGTAAGGTGTAAAGTTGTTCTCCAATCAGACATAGCATTCCTCAGGAAATTAATTACAGTAGGATTTATTTTATATATCTCTAAAATTCTAAGAAGCCAAGAGTGTGGGACACTATCAAATGCTTTTCTGTAGTCTATGTATGATATCGATAAGTTTTTCCTTTGCGTGTAAACACATTTTAAAATGGTGGAGTCTATAATGAGCTGTTCTTTACATCCTCTATGGTTTTGCCTACATCCTTTCTGTTCTTCTGACAGTATATTATTACGGTGGAGATGGCTATTGGTTATTCGTGTGATGAGTGAAGTAATAAGTTTGTAGATAGTTGGAAGGCATGTAATAGGACGGTACTGAGAAGGATTTGATGTATCACTGCTTTTAGGTAGCATATAAGTAATGCCTTTGGTGATGAATTTGGGTATCGGTTGTTCATCCCTAATGAGTTCTGTGATGTTTTTAGCTAATATGTGATGAAGTGTGAAAAACTTTTTATACCAAAAATTATGGATGTTATCTATGCCAGCTGCCTTCCAGTTTTTCATTCTTGACGTGACTATTGCTATATCTTCTGGTGTGATATCAGTGAATTCCATCTCTTCTACGTCAATCATCCTATTTCGTTCTTCATCAATCCATTCTGCATTATCATTATGATCATTCTGGTTTTCCCATAAGTTGGCCCAATAGTTTTTGAGTTCATTTGGCTCAGGGATTATATTGTTATCACTATGTATTCTATTGCCTCTACATGATCTATAAAAGTTATTCTCATTAGTTAAAAATAGTTTATTATCTTCTTTTCTTCTAAGTGCTTTTAAATATCTTGCTAATCTTTGTGACTTTAAAATTAATTTTTGTTTTAACGTATCTAAATATTCTTCCGGCCTTACATTATTTGGTTCATGGATAGTGTGTACTTTGGTTTTTCTAAATATTCTTTCTACTGTTTTCATTACTTTTCTAGATCTATTGTCATTTATATACTGTGTTAATCTCCCTATATCTATTCTTAAATTTTTGATATCTATTTCAAGTCTTATTTGCCAAGTAGGTTTAAGGTTTTTGTGGAATTTTGATGTTTTGTGTTTTCTTAATTTATATCCTAGGTTTTGACATATAACATATGCACTGCAATATATAAGTGTATGAATATGTATTAAATCAGAGTCTATAGAATAAAATCGGTTTAATACTTGTTTGTTAAATATATCAACTAAAGTGTAGAGTTTTTTATTTCCTCTTAGTTTTGGTAGTTTAGGACGTGATGTTGGATCTGTACCTGTATATAGAACCAGAGCGGTTTCTACTTGGTTAATTAATTCTTGTGTAGTTGTGTCGATGTCTGTGATTTCACTGGGTTGTGTAGACAGTATGTGCTGTGGTAAAGATTCTGGAGAGAAGTTTGTTTGAGTGGATGCGTGTTGAGTGAATGTTAGGAGTTGTGTGCATGATACATTTGTGTCTGTTGATTGTGTGTTTGGGTTGGTGCTAGATGTAATTGGAGATTCTATGTTTAATGGTTGTTCAATTGGTTGGGATAGAATGAATGATTGATGAGTGATATTATTAGTGACTTCTGATATGTTTACGACATCGAAATTCTCTTTTGCTTCTTCTTCTTCTAAAGTTCTACGGACTTCTTCCTTTAGTTGATCTAAAGTTTCTTGGGAAAGGCGCTTGTTTCTTATTATTGTTCGCATTTGGTCTGATACACGTTGTTCGGAAACTGTAACTTGCGGGTATTGACGTGAGAATAGTTCGTGCAATCGTTTCCTATATGTTGTCATATCTGTCTCTAACTTTGTGATATAATAATAAGTGCGCATGATGAATATATTAACATCTTTGCTCCAAGACATGCGCACTCTTGGTTTACCGGCCTTGGTGGACGCGGGTAAAAAGGTATTAACCTCCCGCGCAACATCCAAGACTGGAGTGGGTGGGTCTCTAACTCTGACTGTAGGTGGTGTTGAATCAGGTGATGAAGGTAACGATTGCAATGAAGGGGTATATGAAATGGTACTAGGGCTATATGGCTCTATTGGGGGATTTGTGACGTCATCATTAAGACTATCAGAATATTCTTGATCGGCTGTGACCTCTTTTTTGATGGGAGCCCGCCTGCTCAACTCCGCACCACTGACGGATCGCATGCTGAAACACCCAGCGTCAGCTCCAGGTGTGCCCCGGCGATCGCCCCCGGGAAGCGGCCCTCTCAATTTTCTCTTTAAACGTGTCTCCATGATGTATGGGTTTCCATTGCCATGTTGGCCGCGCCAGTAATTTATCAATCGCGTGTCCGCCCCCCACGTGAATCTGATGGTCGATTCGGACGTATGGTTGGATTTGGGGGGCTTATTATTATTATTATTATTATTATGTATGTCTTTACCATTCACGGGACCACAGGGTCCCGGTCATTTGGGAGGCGTACGAGGGGCCGAAGCCAACTGCGCAGAGGCCCTTTAGACAACTTTAATATAAATGTAATGGACACACAAACCGGCGACTATCCCTGTATGCACTATGGAAATGCATCCAAGGACAGTCCCCGGTTAGTGTAGAACTATTGTGAATAATGGAAAAAAAAAGGTAGGGCTATGGATGGGTTGCTGTGGACTGGTAAATTGGGAACTATGGATGACTATGGCACCTGCCGAAACAATGTAATTTTTACACGTAAAAATGGCAGGCGGAGACTCGCCAACTCACCGACCGGGCCCCGGGAATGGTTGCTAGATATAGCAACAGAGGGGCAACGAGAATGTGAGTGGCTGAAGGGTTAAGAAACTACCACCGCTTTCTACTCAGATCATCTGCTCCAGCCGAAGCCTCCTGCATCCCTGGCCCACTCGCGACTTACGAATAGTTTCTTACCCTCCGAGCAGGATCACTGCTCTCGCGACTCCACTCTGGACGGCCAATGAAGGCAAGCCAGAGGTGGGAGACCTGTTCCTTGTCATCGTTCACTCCAGCCAGCCAATTAAGGCAAGCCGGAGAAGAAGGAACGGTGACTTCTCCCTGGAGCACTCGGGATGATGGTAGCCCGCGGGATCGCTAATGCCCGTCACCTCGCCTCAAGGTGCCCTGCGGGCTTTATTATTATTATTATTATTAAAAACATTGAATACAGCAGAAACACACGCGATAATCGCGTTATATTAGGATTACATAAGACTAACCAAAAATGTAACACTTATACATCTGCATTTTCTACCGGGTAGTAAAACATTTATTTATTTGGAAACAGTTTTTATACTCAATTTTATTTTTCAGTTCGTACCAAAATGGGTGGCACCAAACGTGTTAACATTCGGCGGATTTCTGCTCGTCGTTCTGAACTTCTTACTTCTCTCGTACTACGACTACGATTACTACGCCGCCAGTACGCCACTGTACAACGAAACCGTCACCGAGTCTCCTTTGAACGGCCATGTTGAATTAATACCACAATCCTTATGGTATTTCATCGGGATTTTCTTGTTCTTGGCTTATACTTTAGGTAAGTTAAAAATAAAATAAAAATAACCATTCGAGGTTTCATTTGAGGCAGTTTTATATTACCCGAATATCCGAGATGGTTACAGGGCCAACCTATCCGGCCCCCTAATATAATGAACGTTAGATCTTTTAAGTCGTTTAAATGACCAAAGAAAATAATCTGTTATACTCTAGTATAGAGCCCTTCTGGCATAGTCCAGCTCTGTCTGCCTGTTTTTATAGGAGGCACTTTGAACAATATCAGCCTTCTACGAGCAATGGTCACGGCATTGCGTTGTCTCTCATACACTCAACCAGAAATGAAAATAAAGAAATATTTATTTTCAATAAGAATAAAACAAAATAGTTATTATTTTCTCTTCCAGATGGCATCGACGGTAAGCAAGCCCGTCGCACTCAGACCTCGGGTCCACTAGGAGAACTATTCGACCACGGCCTAGACTCATACACAGTATTCTTCATACCGGCCTGTCTATACTCCATCTTCGGACGGTTAGACTACTCTATACCGCCTATCAGGTAAATAATCTTATATTCCACTTTTTAAACGACTCATAAAAAGGACTGCCTCTTTGGCCAAGTGGTCACAAATGCGACTGCCGGGCAAGAGGTCTCGGGTTCGATTCCCGGGTCGAGCAAAGTATTACTGTGTTTTTTCAAAAAATCTCAGTAGTAGCACGGAGTCTGGAAATATGCCCGGTATATGGCAATAGGCTCATCCCCTATTACATAGGACTCATAACATGAATAGTGAAAAGTGGGTGTTACATTGTACAGTGGCATTAAGTGCCGTAATGTACACCTCTGCCTACCCCTTCGGGGATAAAAAGCGTGATGTTATGTTGTTAAAAAGGAGGTTTGTAGTTTGCCCTGTATGTTTATGTGCAACTATCTCGCAATTGAATGAATCGATTTTGATGCTGTTTTCAGATAAGTCTTTGTTAAACCTAAAAGAAGGTTTTAGTACATTAATTAATCGACTTCAAAACAAGAGGGGATTGAAGTCGGTTTTATTTAAACGTAGCTTATTTAGGAATTATTATTTCTTCATAAAGATACATTAGGTTTCAGGTCATAGCTTCTTTCTAACCTAATTTAGGTATCTTTTTCTAGTAGTTACAAATATCTTAAAAACAGCATGTAGAAACAGCACCCTTGAATTGTGGTATATGGCAATAGACTCACCTTCAAGTGGCTGTAACATTATGTGCACTTCTGCCTACCCCTTTATGGATAAAAAATGTGACATTATAGTATAATTTTGTTATTCAATTTCAAGCTGGCCATATAGTCAAGGTGAAAATAATGCGAATTGCGGTCTTTACTTAGCTCTAGGCCCCATCCACCGTGGGGCCCATATGACTCAATACGGCCCTGTATTTTCTTTATAAGAAACTCGTACTATAACCATATCTGTGATGACACTAATTTCAATATCAATGGGGGTATCAAGGAAAATGGGACTCGTAACATAAATAGTGAAAAGTGAGTGTTACATTGTACAGTGGCATTAAGTGTGGGAAAGCTATGCTTCGGCACGAAGTCGGCCGGAGTGATACCACGGCCTCACAAAAAATCGACGTGAAACAACGCTTGCGTTGTGTTTTGTCGTATGAGTGAGGTTACTAGAGGCCAAATTATCCTAGTCCTCGTCTCCCGAATCCCCGAATCCTCCACAATCCTCAAATTCCCAATTCCCAAAAGGCCGGTAACACACTTGTAACGCCTTGGTGTTTCGAGTGTCCATGGGCGGCGCCGATTGCTTACCATCAGGTGATCCGTTTGCTCGTTTACCGGCTTATGCTATAAAAAAAGTGCCGAAATGTGCACCTCTGTCTACCACTTCTGGGGATAAAAGGCGTGATGTTATGTTACAGATTTCAACTAATTCTATGTACTCTGTTTTTATATGTATATGTATTGTCCTTTGTGTTGTATAGGTGTACATAAATAATAAATAAATAAAATAAATAATTATGTTTTTCAGAATCTACTACGTGATGTGGAATCTCCTCCTAAACTTCTACATCAGTCATTGGGAGAAGTACAATACTGGAGTACTGTTCCTACCGTGGGGATACGACTTCAGTATGTGGGTGAGTTAAATTCATTTACTTTTTCAATTAAATAAATAATAAATAAAAATTTTATTCATAATAACACTGGTCGACATAGGTACAAAAATATCTTAATTAAGCGACAAGATCTTAAAAATATATCTTAAACATAGTATATATATTAAACATATAGTATAGCCATATGCCTATACTAGGAATATTCCTGTGTCACAGGCGAGAGGAGCTCAACTGAAAACTTATTTATAGTATATTTTAAATATTTAACACAATTTTACATTACATACATACATACATATAATAACATCACGCTTTTTATTCCCTGAAGGAGAATAAAAAGTTGAACCTACATAATACATTAATATAAAATTAAATAAAATATCGTAAGCTGTATTCATATATAAACTAGATAATTGTTTTAATAATTCGTCATTTTAAAAGAATCTCATCATCAAAATAGATTTAACCTTATTTTGATAACTAAATAATTGATTGTCTTTCAGGCGTCGACAGCGTTTTTCCTGTGGACCGGTGTGAAAGGCACGGGTTTCTACAAGAAGTACATATTCGCCGGGTACACGCTAGCCAACGTGTTCGAAGTATTAATCTACGCTACGGGTGTTGTCACTAACCTACCGGTCGCCCTCTATAATATTTATCAGTAAGTATTTGTTTCAACAATTCTAATAGACGTCGTTTTGCTATTATGCACTTTTTTACATAAATAGTTTAGAACTCGACGTTGCCTCGTTGGCCGATTGGTCACAAGTGCGACTGCCCTACAAGGGGTCTCGGTCGATTTCCGGGTCGGTCAAAGTATAGCTGAGTTTAAAAAAAAATCTCAGTAGTACCACGGAGTCTTGAATTGTGCCCGGTATATAGCGATAGGCTCACCCCCTATTACATGTGATTCATAACATAAATAGTGAAAAGTGGGTGTTACATTGTACACTGGTATAATGTACACCTCTGCCTACCCCTTCGGGGATAAAAGGCGTGATGTTATGTTATGTTATTGTTTTTTAAAATACTAGTAAATAGACTTATGTCGGAATGCTGAAACGCTACTCAATTTTAAGTCGTGCTTAAGTATAGTTCTGTCTCTACAAATTCTTTGTAAAATGACAGAGATGGCACGATATTTGAGCACGACTTAAAATTGAGTAACGTTTCAGTATTCCGGCATTTGTTTTCTCCAAATTAATTTAGCTCTTCACGTTGGAAAACTTTCTCTTGTTATTGATCAAAAAAATGACTTCGAAAAATTCAAAGTCACTCTCGACTTTTCCGCTTCGCTTAACTAAAACTTAGTTTTCTCCGTATGTTAAAAAGTTAACTAATTAAACACTATTAAAGTAAGTGCTGTTGTTGGTATTTGAGAACGCAACCTTTATTTTGTTCTGTTGGCAATAATTGTAATTGTTAGGTTGGCAACATTTTTTTATTCTCGCTCTCCCGCGTTTTTTCTCTGATTGACAATTGTATGTAAAAGTCTTACTTGCTTGCTATTTTAATAATCTGTTTAAAATACAGAAAAATATAGTTTTATTGAGCAAGACTTTTACAGCTATCATAACATAACATCACGCCTTTTATCCTCGAAGGGGTAGGCAGAGGTGCACATTGCGGCACTTAATGCCGCTGTACAATGTAACACCCACTTTTCACTATTTATGTTACGAGTCCTATGTAATAGGGGATGAGCTTATTGTCAGTGCTCACTAATCTGCAATTCTTGAAAAAGTCAAAACAAGATTTTTAAATAAAGGAATATACAATACAATAACTTTTAAAAAATCGCTAAATTTTTTCCAGGTCATATAAACTGCGCACAGGCAAGATGCGATCAACAACGGAAGCGCTCCGCCCTCTGTGGTCGTTTGTAACGATGTTGGCAGTGTGCTCCGTGTGGGTCCACAAGTCTAGTCGACTGCCCGAGTACGACCTCAGGGTGATATTCCTACTCATCGGGACACTGTTCAGTAATGTCGCTGTAAGTATTATTATTACTAGCCTTAGAACTCACATCTAGAGTCCACCTGCTGAACTAGGTATGGGCCATGAGCTTCCTCTACAAAATAGTCTCTTTCTCGCTGTTTTCATATCTCTTTAAGTCTAGTTTTTCGTATTAGTATATTATCTCTTTAAGTATTAGTAATTCGTACATAAACTTACACTTGCTCCATTGAGCTCCATAGAAACCACAAAGCACCACCTAGTTCGATCCGTCTTCTCGTCCCCCTTACCCCTTAAAAGCTAGCAACGCACCTTTTTTGTCCATCAGTGATGCCGACTGATCCATCCGTTCGTTTGCCATAAAGGTCCATTATGACCTATATTTAACTTTAATGTCTTTATGTCCCAGTGTCGCCTAATAGTAAATTAGATGAGCAACCAGTGCTGTGAGAGTGTGATCGTGTTGCTATGGTAACAGAGCGTGGCGGCCTGTCTTACTAAGTTACTACTACCGAGCCCTCCCTTTAGTCTTCCACCGTTCGTCCATAATTAGACACCACCATCATCTGCAACCCTCCCCCCCCTCCCCCACTCTCGCCTCCTCGCTCCCCCTTCCCCGTTTTCTCGTCCCCCTTCCCCTTGAAAAGTTAGCAACGCACCTTTTGTGTCCATGAGTGATGCTGACTGTTTAACAATAATTTCTTGATGTCCCAGTGTCGTCTAATAGTAAGTCAGATGAGCAACCAGCGCTGTGAGAGTATCAACGTGTTGCTATGGCCACTGAGCGTGGCGGCCACTACTACTGAACCCTCCCTTTAGTCTTCCACCGTTCATACATAATTAGTCACCACCATCCTCTACCTGCTCGCTCCCCCTTCCCCGTCTTCTCGTCCCCCTTCCCCCTGAAAAGCTAGCAACGCACCTTTTCTGTCCACGAATGATGCTGACTTATCCATCTGTTCGTTTGCCATAAAGGCCCATTATGACCTATATTTAACTATAATGTCTTTATGTCCCAGTGTCGCCTAATAGTAAATTAGATGAGCAACCAGTGCTGTGAGAGTGTGAACGTGTTGCTATGGTAACAGAGCGTGGCGGCCTGTCTTACTAAGTTACTACTACCGAGCCCTCCCTTTAGTCTTGCACCGATGGTCCGTAATTAAACACCACCATCATCTGCCCCCCCTCTCCCCCTTCCCCACTCTCGCCTCCTCGCTCCCCCTTCCCCGTTTTCTCGTCCCCCTTCCCCGTTTTCTCGTCCCCCTTCCCCCTGAAAAGTTAGCAACGCACCTTTTGTGTCAATGAGTGATGCTGACTGTTTAACAATAATTTCTTGATGTCCCAGTGTCGTCTAATAGTAAGTCAGATGAGCAACCAGCGCTGTGAGAGTATCAACGTGTTGCTATGGCCCCTGAGCGTGGCGGCCACCGTGTCGCTGCTGTCGCCGCAGTATGAGCCTGTCGCCTTTTATGGCGTCACTCTACTTACTGTGCTTGCTCATATACATTATGGAGCTTGTGTTGTGAGTATTATTTTTATTACATAACAGAATAATATCGCGCCTTTTATCCCCGAAGGGGTAGGCAGAGGTGCACATTATGTAACACCCACTTTTCACTATTTATGTTATGAGTCCCATGTACGGGCACATTTCCAGAGTTCGTGCTACTACTGAGAATTTTTTAAAACCCAGTAATACTTTGCCCGAGCCGGGAATCGAACCCGAGACCCCTTGCCCCGGCAGTCGCACTTGCGACCACTCGTTCAACAGGGCAGTATTTTTATTACCTACTTATTTATTATAGGTTATCCCTTACAGCGGGAGTTATTGATACATCTATACAGATAAATAATATTGGAGTGTCTGTTTGTAATATTAAAATAACTGCTTTTTACTACACGCATAAGATACAAATACAATGTGTCGCGGGTTCGATACCGCACGGAACAACTCTTTGTGTGATCCACAAATTGTTGTTCCGGGTCTGGGTGTCACGTGTATATGAACTTATATGTTTATAAATGCACCCAGGACACAGGAGAAAATCCTAGTGTGGGGCAACGTTTTTTTTTAAATTAATAATAATAATAATTACAACATCACCTTTATTACATTAGATTCTCGGTTCTCCATACCCAATGCTATTACAGAGAATTTCAAAAAACAAAACTAATGTTTGACCTTCAAATCGACCTCGATAACTTAATACCAATATCTTTCACCCCACAGGTACGTCAGATGTGCGATCACTTCAGAATAAACTGCTTCTACATAAAGCAGAGGTCAGATTGACTCTTAGACGACAATGCGTGTTAGTAACATAACATTAATGTAACACATACAGGTCTCATCAGTTACATAACAACATCGTGTACACTCCGCCTTACATTTAGATATTATACTTAACAATGTAGGGAACTAGATTGTTTTAATCACTTGATATATAGTGCCGAAAATCCCCAACATTTTTTCATACAAAAACAGTCTCTAAACATCGGAAATAAGGTATATAATGGAGATAGTGGAGAGCGGTCACTGGTGAGTGCTTGGGGATTGATTAAATTGGAGAAAGATTGGCCTTATATTTCTTTATTTAAAAAGCTACATGCACACAAACAAACACATGATTGGACTTAATGCCGCTTATAATAACTTATTAGATAAATTTTTCATCCCTAAAAAGTAAGTTTTGCTATAGTTTATTTAAAAATATATCTTAATATTACCAGTGATAACTTTGGTTTATGAAACTTTGCACTCTGTTACCGCTAGTGTAGCTTCATGACTTTACAAACCAGTGGCGCCATCTGATCGTAAAAAACGAAATATTATACAATAATAATATGATACCAGTGAATATTCAATAAAAGAAATGTTGTTGTTTAAAATAATCTAGTTTCCATATTACATAACATTGTCAGACTATTTATTTTACCACCAAATTACCATTTTGATAGTAAAATATTCAGTCAAAGTACACAATAGAACTGCTTACTAGAATAAAAACTGTTCCTTCAATTAGAATTATTAAACAAAATAACCATAGATTTAGAAAAAACAGAAGTACATTATGTTGTTATTATTTAAAGAAAAAATGTTATGTTATTTTTATAAGGATTGTACACACAGTATATAACTATATTTTATGAAATAATCGTACATACATTACATACATGCATACAATAATAGTATAATAAATAAAAACATTTTGTATAAGTGTCTAACTGTCATTTGTCAATTTGACATATTGTTTTTTTTTTATTAATTTTTTTCACAAGCCATAGTCAACCTTTTTATATGTATTGTTTTTTATTTTCTTTATCCCAATGTGTACGTCTTTATTTTAAGGGTTCATAACGCGCATTGTCCTTTGATTTTTTTGTGAAATCCAGCCATAAGTGGTTTATTTTTAAGGACTTTTCAAATCAAGTTCTTGATTTTTTATTCTTGAGTGTAAATCAAAAATATTTTGAGTATTAATTCGGTTGTTTGCCATTTAGGTATGTTTGACCTTATAATAACGTTTTTTGAAAATTGAGGGATGAGTCGTACTTTAGTATTTATAATTTCTACCTAGTATTTAGAAAAAAATCTCCGCAAGATCTGTAAATTAATTTAGGTAGTATTTAAAGTTATTTATTATCCATACTTTTTTTTAAAGGAATCGAAATCATTTTTGAAATAGTTGTTTGAATTATAAAATGCTATAGAATTTATAAAAAAATTTTTTTAGCTCATTCCTCAATTTGTTTGTATGTATACTTTATTAATGGATGGGATGACCTTATGAGAACCGCAACATATTCATATTTGTATTTCAGAAAATTTCAACTTCACAAATAGATAATGTGAATGGAATTCTAGTGATATTTTGGTTTTGTTTGTTGTAAGGTCATAATATCAATAAAGTAAGAATTTATTATACTTTTTTAGTCGACCAGTAGGTTTTATGTGATTTTTTGTTTTAATTATTTAATTTTATCAATATCTATAATAAACAGGTTTATTAACAAAATCGCCGATTCAAAACGGCTATTTCATAGGTGCCGTGATAATTAAGTAATTAAAACAAAAATATTTTATTTTATAATTTAGTTTTAAGTAAAAAATGAGATTTTAAGCAAAATGTCGCATTTTTAGTTATTTTTAGCAATGTGTAGCACCGCCTTATTAAGCAATTAGATGTCGTTTTGTATATTTCGTCTTTAATCTAAATTTAATTTAAATTATTCAGTATTCTTAACCAAAATTAATGTACCTAATTTTGTTTTCGTTCCAAAACTACTAAAACATACCCTATCTATAAAATATTTCCAAAAAATAAGACTAAAAATTACTTACATGACTTTAAAAAATTCAAAAATTCCCCCAAAAATTCTGGTAGTTTTTTTTATTGTACCCAATATTTTTATTCTAACAATATTAGGTATGTTTGCTGCAAATTCTACTAACAAGTACTGGTACTTTCAGTATTAAGTTAATGAACCCACCAGTTTAACCTATAACTTTATTTAAACTTCACATTTATATCCAAAAAGGTTTTATATTTAATTTTTTAAAAAGAATATAATCATTTTGTATTTATCAATCTTATAATCGCCAGTTTTCTATTCGGCCTGTTAAACAGTTACAAATCGTAACGAAAAACTGTAATACTAATCATCCCCATATTTAACCTGTGGTATGCGCGTGTAAATCTACGCGAAACACAATATATTAGGTATCTATTGTGTCTTATATACCGGCAGCCAATCAAACAGTATTACTGGTTTTTCAATCATCATTTTATTACACGATATTTTGTCCACAAGCTGTATTTTAACTTTAAATACAGTAAAATGGGGTGAATAAGGTTTGAGCGGCGAAAAGAGGCAGAAGAGGGGTGAATCGATACTATGAAAAATTTCCTTATATCTATTCACCCCTCTTTTGTCTCTATTCACCTCTCGATCTCTATTCACCCCATTTTACGGTAGTTAACAATAATATTAAATTACAACAGACGGATACTACTCACTGTCTTAATTATTGTTTTTATGTAAAACTCATTAATTTCTTCCCATACACAAGTAGCGACATGGCTAGACTCTGTAGCATTACGATTGACCAATCACAGGAGACGAATTGAAACATCAAATATTTTATTTTGAACTTTATTATACTATGAGTTATGCAAGTAAAAATTGACTTAATAATTTGTAAGCAATAAGGACTATATTTCAGTGTGAGTAATAACCAGCAATAAGTAAGAGATTACTATAATAAAATCATTACAAATTAAAGTGCCTGACATTAGTAAGGTAGACAGTAGACATTCATAGTACGCTTTCAGCTAGGTTTAGACTTAGATCGAAAATAAACACTAAATAGAAATAAGATTATCTATTTATTCAAAAAAATTAAAATTATTGTAACCGCACTCACGACACATAAGAAAATCTTAATGTGAAGCCATCTTTAATAAAAGTTAGTGGATATACATCATGTGTCAGCCAAGTTATATGAAAAATAAAATGTTTGTGGTATCGAAATATGTATGGACTTTACCTACTTTATTTTCTTAAATATGATATGATTACTAACCCTCTTACAAATGTAGATGCAATTATACATAAGTTACTAATGCAATAAAAAGTACATACTACACTTATCTTTCACTATTTTAAGGGTTGGTCCCATTATGAAAAATGGTTCTAATTATTGCGGTTGTTGTGACTAAAAAATAACCCCCTGTGTAATGTCAAGTTTAAGTGTCAAAGGTTGTAATTTTTTTTTGTAGAATATTTGTAGTGAATTGTGTTTATTTATTTGTAAATTGTACTTTTTTCAACACTAAGTAGGAAGTACTTTATAGGAAAACCGCTTGCTGAAAAATAGGTAGTAAAGGTTAGTCAGATTTTTAAACTGACTTGAAGCCCAAGTTTTGGGAGTTAGTCAGCGCTAAGTTAATGAAGTGTTAAGCAAAAACTAAATTTGGAGAATGATGATTAAGGCTTTGACTACCAATAATAACTGTTGAAGGCAAATCCTGCGCTGACGTCGGTCACCGGTGACCCCCATGGCGTTTAATGTGTTAAATACTAACGCATGAAGGAACCAATCAATATACTACAGCTTTGGAAAAGTCATGTTTATCAAGTTCAATGTGGGAAGGTTCTTCTTTTCCTTTTGTATACAGTCTCTATATATTTTCCGTTTGTTAACTCTTTGAGTACCGTCATTATAGACACAAATTGCGGTCACCGATGACCGCTTGGTGTTCGACAGTTTAAAAGGATTAATCTAGGGTAAGTAAAAGTGGTCCTTCTTGCGTAGCGAATGTCCATTAATTTCTGTCTACATGGTGTTGAAAATAGTAAAGCCATTTTATTGTATTAATTTTAAATCGTGTACTAGCCAGACTGTAATTGGTTTTTTTTTATTTTTCAGTCGTGTGTTGTAAATTAGGAACTAAATGAAGTGGAGATCGTGTTTAATCTTGATATGTATGGGACCAGCTTTAGTTTATATGTTGTTTAAGGGTAGCTGTCCACGTTGAGTCTTTGAACAAATGTATGCCCAAAGAATAGGCGACTTACAAATGACAAATTTAATGTTTGCATCTTGCTTAGAAACAGTGGAAAGCTCACAAAGAATGCGTACATTCGTCAAATGACGCAATGTGGACAGTAGGCCTAAATGAAAATAAGGTAGTTTCCTTAATTTTAATGTCCGTCTGGTAATTGATTTAAAACATTAGATACGTATTTTTTCTATACTCACAAAACTAAATACTTTTGTCGATATATTAATTTGTAATATCGTGTGACGTCACAGCGTGCGACATTTTGTAGCACGTTATGACGTAACGACCTTCCCACTCCTAAACTTAGCGCCATTTTATCTATGTATTGCAACTTAATACGAGAAAATAAAATACGTGTCTAATATTTTTTCATTATCTAACTGACGGACTAATTAGATTTTTATACCCTAGAAACTACCCAATTACACGTGCAATGCAATCCTACGTGAGATTCATAGGAGATATTCAATTATAGTTTTCTAGTTATAACACAATATTTATAACTCATTTAATTTGGTCACTTTTGTAAGTATCGACTTACTAATATAAGTTTTAAAAATACCGTTCCTTAAATTGGACTTTGAAGTACTAACACTAATTTTATGTTTAACAATTGGGTACTTGCCTTCAACAAAAATAAATTATTTCGACTGTTCAATACAATAAAATGTAAAACATAATCACACTTTCTTTCTTTGATTAATTGATTTTGTGACCAACTTAATTT